GGCTGCCCTTGGTCCCCTGCACTGCTTTGCAAGCCAGTTTCTGTCTTCCTCTTTACAGATTTGCCAAGCAGCGTCCCAGCCCCCTGCCTCATTTGCAAAGGAACGTTCCAGATGGAAAAGACCTGCAAGCGTTGTAGCTCCTTCCGTGCCACAATCTTACAAGGAAACGCTTATGTCCCTCTAAATGGGCAGAACAGCCCATCCAAAAGAATGGTGGGCAGCCTGTGGAACTTCTGAAACACCCATTTTCCCCAGAAGATATATAGCAACCTAAATGGATTCTGAGACAGTCTGATTTATTGTGTTTTTTTTTTAAACAAACAAGCAAAAAATAATCCATTCATATAAATGCCCAACCTTGTGTGTGGAGTTTTTCCAAGATATTCCAGGGGAAGGACACGTTTTTCACAGTAGTACTTTTTACAGACGGGGTGGGGTAACAAAAGCATCCCATGCATTTCTGTCCCTGAGCTCCAGAACGGACGGCTTTGGGAGAAGACTGGACTTGGCTGGAATGCCACAAAACAAGTCCAGTGTTTGCAACCCTGCTAAGCCCGTGCCAAGGAGCCAGCCCGGAAGTGGCAGTCTGGTCCCAACAGGATTTCCTCCAACAGGTCGTGGGCTTTAATACACCACCTTTCTGCCTCCCCTGGATCCTACTGGCATGATCCCAGTGGGGAATGTTGTAGGTGTTGGAATGGATTAACTCTGCCCCTAGCCTCATTCTAGAATCACGGGGAACCCGGAAGGGACCACAAAAGCCATTCCCTCAACACCCACCTAGGTCTCTCAAACCCCATTCACATCACAATGTTTTGTGGTCTTGGGTCTTTTTAGATTCGAATGTTTGCTTTGGAAATGAGGATGGGGTGGGAAGGGGATGGAGATAGAGACTTAGGGACCAGGCCAGCTTCTAAAAGCCATCATAGCAGGGTTTTTCCAGTTGTCAGGCAGGCGGATGTACAGATGGTGGGAAGTGGTGAACAGGGGAGTGTTACTCAGAAAGCAGGATAAGAAGGGATTAGCAAGGACGCTGGCATCAGGAGATATTCTCGGCAGGTTCATCTTGCAGGAGTAGGGGTGAGGGCGGGTTGTAATGAGCTGCAACTCACTTTCCAGCCAAATGCTAGAAAAATGGCCTTGGGGGAGGCATAGCATTGCCACCAACCAAACTTTCCTGGGGCCTAGACTCAATCTCTGAGTAACTGTCTTCTCCTCAGAGTGTCCCCCTTCCCAGCTGGTTTGGGGACATTTGCTCCTTTGCTGCTGCTCATTGGACAGCTCAGTGGTACAGCTGAGAGGGCTGGGTTTAGGGGTGAGAAGACTTGCATTTGAATCTTGCCTCAGATACCTGGGGAAGTCATTTTGCCACTCAGCCTCGGTTTCTCCATCTCTAAAATGGGGATGATAATACTACCCACCAGACAGGGCTGTTGTGAGGATCTAATGACTTAGCATCTGTACAGCACTTTACAGACCTCTTTAAGGTTTCTCTATCAAGGTCAGCTGTTGGCCGATAGGACCCCTTCCAGCTCTGGCCCTCCCTGTTCTGGGACTGTCTGTGATTTTCTCCTGCTTATGTTGCCCTGGCCCTCATGTTCCAAAGTCTGGAGGGCAGCAGAGACTAGGGAGATCAGGAGTCTGTTTGATTTCCTCACTTTTGAAAATTGAGCTGTCAGGGTTGGGGTTTTCCCACCTCAGATCTCATTCCTTAGGGCTATGCATGACAATGACTGGACAGACAGCATGAAGAGACTGCTTCCCCAGGAAGAACACGTAGGGCTTTGAAGCCAGGAAGACCTGAATTCACATCCCAGACTGGTATTTAACCTTTCTGTGCCAACCTCCAAGGTCGCAACCATCTTTAAATCTCTGGTCCTATGGGTTCACACTCAAGTTACTCTGAATGATTGAGGCTGTCATCCAAAAGGGGCAAAGCTGACATCTAACTGGATTTGAACAGAGGCAGCACCAGGTTGGCGGTCTAGGAGAGGACACTCTTGAGCCAGTCATAGTTGGATACAACTTTCTTCCCTACCCCTTTCTCTCCTTTGTAGAATAAAAATGAAAGCACTTAGTTACGAGGTTGCCGAATTCAGAATTTATTTACATCCTGGCCAAGTAGAGTGAAAGTAACATCTGGCTTGGAGTTCCTCATGACTGACTTCTGACCCTGCACTGGGGGGCTTCCGGGTGGAGGACCCAGGACTGACTGCAGCAAAGGAGACCATTGGCAGACCCCAGCGAGTCTGGGGAACACCCGGCTCTTTGTAGAGTGGCCATGATTGAATTCATATTGCTTCCTTGGATTCTGCCATTGCAGTGACTGACCCTGTCAGGCTGTTCTGACAGAGATGGGCGGGGGGGGGGGGAAGATCTGGCTGCATCCTGTCTATCCTTACTACACTGTGACCCCCCTGCCTTGTACTAAGCTAAGTATAAGGCCTCAAGAGAAAGAGAAAAGGGTTTCTGTGATCTGGAAGAGCACCTGAGAGTGAGTGACCCAGATAATCTGGTCAGGAAGAGTGTGGAGAGCCTGGCACTCTCTAGCTGGCAGGACCACTGTGAGGAAGGCCCTAGGAAACTCCATAGAGGTAGACACTGTTGTTAAAGCATGGCTTTGAAAGCAGAAACCCCAAGTATACATCCTCCCAGCATCTGAGGCAAGCTAAGCTGTAGGAGAATCCAGAAGCAGGACCCCGGGATCCTGATAGAAGCTAGGGTTATGGAAACCCTGGCTGTCCCAGGCAGAAGAACAGGGCAGTTAGTTGCTAATGAGGTCCTCAAATCATTAATGAAAGCTCTCACACGGAGCCCTAACCATACCTGGGTACTGAGCCAGATACCAGCCGAAGAAGGAAGTGCTGTGCCCTCCACTCTCTGCCCCTTTAGTCACTCAGGGTAGTGCTCAGCCGTTGGGGGTGTCCCCTTTTGTGCCAGGGGAGAAAGAGGCTCACCTGGCGCCTTGCTCAGTGTTGGGGCTGAGGAAGGTCCCGCCCTCATGTCTGGGTCTCCTGTCGCTGGCCAGCTGAGGTGTTATTTAGTGTGTGGCCAGCCAGCAGTGGCCGAATGGCCAGTTAACTCCGCTGTTGCCCACTGAGCCTGTGGGGATGGGGCTTGCAGCTATTCTCCAGGCCACCTTCCTCGAGGAATCTATCCTCTCGCTCACATGGCAAGCCCTAGTCTTTGTCTGACTCAGGGCTCAGAGGTAACACGGTCCACCACGTTCCACTTAGTGTTTGTCTTACATCCTGACTTCAGTCCATTCGCTGCCAAGCTGCATTACTTGCCTGTGGGTGTGTATGGATTATCTCCTTTTCCCCCTTCCCAGAACTGAAGGCTTCCTGAGTCTCAAGCTTCTTCAGGGGGATGAAGGATTGTGGTTGGCCTCTCCAGAGAGGAATTCCCCCAGGAATTAATTATGCAAATTCAATGCCACACTTCCATTCTGTTTCAACTTGCCCCATCAGTCAGCTTTGAAAGATTTGGCTTGGCTTGGATCTCAGCCCCACTTCCTCCCCCGGGTAGGGGAGGTCCTGGAGTGTGAGGAGAAGAAAGTGGAGACCAGAAACCAGCTTCAATTACTTCCCCCTTGGCCCATCTGTAGCAGGCTTTTAGAGAGAAGTAAGGGGTATGCGGGTGGCTGCCCCTCTGACCTTTTAAAAAGGGATGACGCTGAGGCGTCCCTTGGCACCGTTACCACAGATTAGACTATGGGGCAAGATGGGCTGACATTTATGTGATCTATAGGGAATTTCTCTCTGCTGATCCCCAGAACATATGAGCACTGTGGCTGGCCCTCCAAAAGGATTTGGGGTCTATTCAGCCATCCAGCAAGACTTTGCTAAGCACCTCCAACCCATGGGGTGGGTGTTTTATGGAGAAGACAGGGAACGACAGACCAAAATTGCCCAGGCTGGAGATGTGAATGAATTGTGCCTGCTGAGGCAAAGAGAGCCAGATAGCTTTGAAAACACTGCTCAGGGGTAGGGACACAGAGCTTGCCATCCCAAAGGAGGAACAAAGCATTAGGAAGTCAGGAGGTAGGAAGGACCCAGGTTGGAGGGGAGGGTGTCGTCTTCAGGAAAGGCCACGTAAAGGAGGAGGTGTCACCTGGGTTAAACCTTGAAGGAGAAGATTAGCGAAGAGAAAGGCTGTTGCAGCCTTGAGCTGCAGCTTGTACAAAGGTGGGACAATTTCATCCCATAGACAAGAGGGAACCACTGACGTTACGTGAGCAGGGAAGTGACACGATCAGACAGTGATATATGAAAACTGGGTCGGAGATCTAGAGATTAGGGAATTGTAACTACAGGTGGTTGAGGCAGCTAGAGGGCGCCATAGCACATAGAGCTCCAGGCTTGAAATCAGGAATACTCTGAGTTCAAATCTGATCCCAGACACTTAGTAGCTATGTGACCCTGGGCAGGTCACTTCACCCTGTTTGCCTCAGTTTCCTCATCTGTAAAGTGAGCTGGAGAAGGAATCGGCAAACCACTCTGGTACCTTTGCCAAGAAAACCCCTAATGGGGTCACAAAAGGTTGGACACAACTGAAATGACTGAGCAAAATACAGATGGTAGTTGTAGAGCCCTGGACCTGGAAGGGTGTTTGAGAAATCGCCCAGTCCAGGCAGCAGAGTTTCCCCAGTTCATTTCAACACTGAAGAGCTGTTGAGTATCACTATACCTCCAATTCTTATGGTACTATATGGTTTCTAAAGCCACTTTCCATGTGTTATCTGATCTGATCCTCACTGTGTGACCTCAGGTAAACTCCTTCTCCAAAATGGGGTCATTGGACTAGAAGTTCTCTGCAGTTCTAGCCTTCTGTGAATCGATGAAAACCCAGTTACTAAATGCTCCCCAACTCCCTCCCCTGGGAGAATCCTAAAAGAACTTTAACAAATCAGCACACATCCTCTTCCCCGCCCCCACGAAGTGTCAAATGTGCAATCTGCCCTATTTATAGTGGGGCAGGAGCAACAGTGTCTCCTCGAGGAAGTACAGAGGCTAGCCTCCAGGAGACTCTCCTGGGCTCCCCACAACCCCAGAGATGCTTTCAGGAAATGCCATCATTTTTCTAACCCTGGTCTGGGGGGCCCGTGAGGGACAGGCTATCTCCCAGATTGCAGAATGTGGTTTTGCCTGTTCAGAGGTAAGCTCTTATCTTCTTCTTCTTCCCCAGACCCTGTAAGTAAATGTCTGCAAGATTGTCTTGGTTTCCCTGATTGAGGGCTGGCAGGAGGCTGAGGAAGGGCTCAAAGACCTCATTTGTACTGTCCTCACTGGGGAAATGGGAGAACCCCCAACAACCTTTCAGTGACAGGCTAGGCTTTCTGGAGTCCCCGTGAATGCTGGCTGCAGAAATACTGGCGGGCGTCTGCCTGCTGAGGGTGCCGACTGAGGAAGCCTAGTAACCGGGTGCTGGGCTGCCAGGATTGCTAGGACAACGAGGAGTGGACACTGAGCTTATATCTTTCCTTTTACAATAAAGGGAAAGGAGAATTGGCTCCTGTTTGCGTCACTCTGCAGACTTCTGGGGGGCTGGGGCTTTTGCTCAGACCTCTCCTGGGATCTTCTGGTCTGAGTGTCGGGTCCCGCTGAGCGGGCTTCCCTGCCTTGATGCCTCTGAACCTCTTGTTCCTGGGATGACATTTGCTTGAAGGGTGAGGCTCGAATTCCTTGGAGCCGGTGTTTGCGAGCCGCATTTCTGAAGCCCTTTCTAAATTCAGGGTCTTGTGCTGAATGTAGGCACCAGGCGTGAGGAGGGGTCTGGAGCAGGGGGTTGGGTTTGCACCTGACTGGGGGCTCTCTGCAGGATGCCACTGAGATAGATGAGTAAGGCTGTGCTTGAGAATGGGAGAACGACAGGTGGGCTTTCTGAGTCATTTTCCACTGTTCCCCCTGGACTTGTCCATCGTGTTGTGATCGTGGCAGTTAGAACAGCTAAGAAAAGCAATTAGTGTACCATTAAAGAGAGCAGTAGAAGAAGAACAGATGTGTTCTTGTAGGAGGTCCTAGCCCACAAGCCTCCCCTAACAGCAGTTTGGGATGCTGGGACATGCAGTCTGGTGTGTTTTATGACCATCGGAGTGCCATGGGGACCGATAAAGGGCTCACCAGGGTCCCTGGGGGCTCTGGAGCCAGAGCAGCTTATGTCTGCCTAGCCCTTTAAGCTTACGGAGCATGTTCCTTACTGCAGTCCTAGGAGGGAGGCTACGCAGGGCTCCAGGAAAGGAAGGGGCTGGACCACACTCACCCAGAGAGCCCTGGTGGGAGGCATGATCCCCAGGAAGAACACGAACTGTTCTTGCCAATCACTACATACCCTAGAGACCTCAGCAGAGCCGGGGAACAATGGAGGGACTGGATTCTGTTTTCCAGATGGGACTAATGAAGGTGAAAATGACCACTTTGATAAGGGGGGGAGGAGCCTCAGAAACACTCCAAGTCACAACTCTTTCTGTTGGAGTCTTACTGAGTCAGCACAGTGAACAGCGATTAAGCATAGCTTTGGGCAATATGCCCAGCCCCCAGAGGAGTGTGCCACAAAACGTGGAAATCTGAAAGGCTGTGGGGGGGGGGGCAGCAGCAGGCACATGTGTGCTCAGTGAGGGCTAGTGGAAACAGCACAGGAAAGCCTGGGGTTCAAGGTCTGGCACCCACTCACTATGTGACCTTGGCCATGGGGGTTGGACTGAGGGGCTAGGTAAGGTCCCTCCAAGCTCCAGCAATCTGAGCTGATTCGATTGGTCTGAGGGTACAGCATGTGGAGGGAGGGGTGTGAGAGGGTGGAAATTGTCTGTAGGCATTAAGGTCCTTGTCTTACAAGGGCCATCTTGGAGAGACTTGAGTCATCAGTAATCCAAGGACAGCCTCCTTTCTAGAAGCAGCAAGGTGAGAGCCTTCTTTGCATTATATTAGCAGGGCTTCCTCTGCCTTAAAGTCTTCTTCTCTCTGATGGATCTCTGACTCTTTAAGGATTTCCAAGCACCTGCTGCTTTGTCTCACTTGATAACGAGCCAACTCTGATATGGTTCAGAAACAGCATTTTCAATGTGGGGGATCTAAGGCTTGGTTTGAAGGGGCTGGAACATGGCCCCGGCAATAGCGAACAAGGCCAGGCTGCAGCGTCCAGGCTTCCCAGGGACAACTAGCCCCCATGCTGGAGCTTTCTTTTCTTCTCCAGAAGGCAAGAAGAGTAGAGGAAGCAGGGTATTCTGCCCTATCGTATGCTATAGATCATAGCGCAGTCACATCCCTCCGCAGGTCTCTTGGATTCTCTGCCAACAACAGATCGGTGGCTATCCCGTGCGCTTACAGGAATGTGCCCCAGACCGTTTGATCCAAAGCACAGATGGCAGCAAGCGGCCTGCCTGAGCAGACTAGCCACCTGCTGCCACCGTGGGCTTTCGGACCTACAGTGACTGGAGGTCGGGGCTGAGAACATGAGTGTCCCATGATGTCGTTGAGGCATTTCAGTTCTGTCTGACTCTCCATGATCCCGTTTGGGGTGTTCTTGGCAAAGCCACTGGAGTGCTCGGCCATTTCCTTCTCTGGCTCATTTTACAGATGAGGAAAATGAAGCCAGCAGGGTTAATTGACTTGCCCAGGGTCACACAGCTAGCAAGCCTCTGAGGCAAGGTTTGAACAAATGAAGACGAGTCTTTCTGACTCCAGGCCCAGCACACTATCCACTGAGCCACCTAGCCGCCCTAGTCATGGTCCATGACTGTCCAGAAAATAGAAAAGTGATCAGTCCCTGGAGCAGGAAGGAACCTCTAAGGCCATGTGACAGAGTAACCCCAACACCCAAGAACGTCATCTACAACTCACCCAATTCGTGGTTGTTCAGCCTCTGTTCAAAGACCTCCCAGAGAGGCAAACCCTCCACCTCCCAGGATTACCAAGTGGCCTTAGCCCAAGATGGCAGTCTTTGTGCCCCAGGGCAGCCCCAACTTCCATAAGCCCGAGAAAAGCCTGCTACCTGTCCTTAGTGAGGTGCCCAGTGGGCCATAGTTGAACAGCCATTGAGATCAATGGCAAAGGGGGTTTGAAGAAGGTCTTTGAAGTCAAATGGACAGTCTGGTGTCATGGGAGAACTCTGGGACCTGAGTCAAGAGGGAGAGACCCGAACTCTGCTCCTAGCTCCCAACACTGGTTTGAAGGGTGACTGTGGCCAAGTCATTGTACTTTTCTCTTTGGAGTTCCTTTTTCCAGTGGAAGAATGTTAGACCCTCGAGGGCAGGGGTCTGTCTCACTTTTGTCCGTGCATCCCCAGAGCCTGACATATAATAAGGGCTTAATAAATGCTTGTGGAGCAACTGTAAATTGGGAGGAGTTGAAGTAGGTGACCTCTAGGGTCCCTTTTGCTCTAGCCTCACACAAGCCTGCGTACTCAATGACCCTGTGAAGGCAGTGAATGACTTACTGTGAAGTGAGAACTCCCTGTCCTCTCAAACCTCCAAATCTAGCTAGGAAAACAAGACTAGCAGACAGCAAGCAACTTGAGAACGTTCCAAAGAGGACGTGATCACAAGCAGTGGGCAGCCCATTGGCTGCTGCTGGCAGAGCTCAGAGAGGCCAGGTGGGCTGAGGTCATCAGGGAAGGCTGCCCAGGAGAGCAGCGAGGATTTGGACTGAGGCCGGGGCACAGAGATGAAAACGGAGGGAAGTATTAGTAAAGGCACAAAGAGCAGGAGTGAACTCAGAGTGTTTGGAGGATAACGAGAAGACCACATTGACAGGGAAGCAGGGTCTCTGTTGGAATGGATCAACAGCCTTTTCTTGGACACCTGGGGGAGGTAGGATTGGAAGGATCATGGAGGAATCCTTGGAGGAATTGAGTGGGAGTCCCCATACATCTGTTAGGCTTGAATGAGGCCACACACCTCAAGGCAACCTTGATGATTTGTTTGTGGAAATCGGCCGGCACCCTCCCTTGGCAGCCTTGGTGCTGGCCCTCCGTCCCACACAGCCAAGGAGCTGGTGCCATCATCAGAGGCTGCCCAGGAGGGGCCCTGGAGGGCCTTCTTGGCAGTCTGTCTGCTGTGGTTATCTGTGAGCTAGCTAAACCTGCCAGAAATGGTTTTGTTTTTCCAGCCTGACCCACCTGGGGTCAATTTCAGGAAGTTTTCATTATTCCTAGCCAACTTCCCTCCTGCCTGCTGTGTGGCAGCCCACTGGCCCTGTCCTCACACAGCTTGATGTGTCCTGGCCCTTTTTGGGCAGGATGAACTCAACTTTCTCTCCTTTTGACTTTAGGACCCCAAAACAAAGCTGGGCCTGCTTGTGAAGGGAGCTGACAGCTGGTAGGGTCTCCAGGAGGGGCACGCTCCCTCCCCAGAGGGGGATGGCAGGGAGCTTGGGCTTTGCCTCACTTTGCTCAGGTCCTTGTAAAGTCCAGGCCAGCTAGTACCCAGGCAGCTCCACCTCATCCCAGTTTGGTTACCTCCTCTGGCATCCCAGGCTGGGGTATGAAGGTCTTGTCTCTGACTCCCAGCCATCCTAATAACCCCACGTAGCCACAAACAAGGAATCAGTGGACAGGATGGGGCCAGGCAGTTTTCTAGCAAGATTCGCAAAGAAGGGTCAACCAAGGTTAAGTGAGGCTATGAGGACAGCTGGGGGATTTCCCCTTATTCCTGCTATTGTTTGGTTGTGATGATGATGATGATGATGATGATTTTGGTGGGGAAGCATCTTCACAGGGAATGCTAATGGGCTCCTTTAGCTGCACTGCAATAAACTGTGCCTCCGTGGGCTGAACCATGGAGGGGCTTGGGCATCTCACCTTTAGGGCGTGATCCCAGACATTTCCCCTTAGCCTTTTCCTGGCCCCTTCTAAGCCTGGCCTGCTAAGCTCCAAAAAGCTTTCCCTGTGCTCAAGCTTCATTGTCTTGCCACTCCCCTTTTCCTAGATTCTCCACCCCACCCCTGCCACTTATTGGCATCAGACTGGTTTGCAGCCCTTCTCCCACCATGAGATGCCCCCATTTGGGGCCCAGGCCCCCTTGGTTCCCTCCTCCTTCCCTCCCTCCCTCCATCATCTTTGGTGGCTGCTATGCCTGGCTTGTATTGGGTACACCCCACGGTCAGTACCCAGGGCAGGGGAAATGTGGGCAACAGCACATCTGAACAGACTCAGGCCACTGA